ATCCAGCAGCGGCGATCCCAAGATTTCCGACGGAAGGGAGGAGACGACAAAAAATTTTTGGAGTGAAGGTGCATGGCGTTAGCTACGCACTGTGAAAATTTTTTAAAGATGATTCCCGAAATTTTCGCGGGTCCATGACCTCGAAAACCCAGAAAAAGCCCGAAAAATTTTTTGACACGGCTATTTTGAATTTGTAAAAATTTTCAGAAACATCCTAATTATTTACAAGTATAAACAAATCACTTGCACGTTTTTATCTTATATTACGTTGTCCGGAAAATAATGTCGCATGGCATCCTACCGCGACAGAATGACCACAAAAAACATCGAATGGGGTATCATTCGATAGAGCAAAGCAAGCTCTACAAGCTAGTTCACAAATCTCCGCGCAGATATTGCTCCATCTAAAGTTCGAATCCAAAATATAAAAAATTTCAGACGCCCAAAAAATCGTATCTCCGTTCACAGACGTCTTAGGGATCTCCAATTTGCACAGGCATGTACTCTCCACACTAGACATTCACCTGTATAGTTTTTGGTATTTTTCCATGGCTACAGTACGAGAAATAAAAAGGGGTCAAAAGTGCGAATATGTCGTGTTTTTCGGGTTTTTTGCAAACAATTTGATTTTTCTCGAAAACTAGCGCTTGTCTAAAGCTGAAAATTCATGGTTATACTCCTAAAGGTTCATGCTACAGAATCAGCCATGTGAGAGAAGCTCAGGATTGCTTTGGCAGAAATATGCCAAATTTGGTTTTCTCAATTTTCAGCCATGGAAAAACCGCGAAAACGAGTGTACGAGTGTCTCGTATAGTGAGTCCGTGCGTGAGCAAGTTAGGGGTTCTCAGGACTTCTCTGAATGGAGATACGGTTTTTTTCGTTTTTTTCGGATCTTGAGGGCCTTGTGAAATTTGGCTTCAAACTTCATGCAAATCAGACTTGGCGCGAAGGTTCGAGCTTCATTTTGTAGAGCTTGCTCTGATCTATCGGTTGATACCCCATTCACATACTTTCGTGCGCACCCTGCTGCGATATTGCATGATAAAACAAAAAGCGACATTATTTTCCGGACAACCTAATATATAAAGCTGAATGTCTGTCTGTATGTCTGTCTGTATGTCTGTATGTCTGTACGTATGTGCGGAATAGAAATTTTTATTTCTGAACCGATTTGGACCAAACTTGGCACACATATACTTCGGGGCAGGAAGCGTGTCATAGGCTACTTTTCATTATCGATCGATATCGATTTTATCGATTTTTTGCAAAATTTGAGCTACAGGGCTGGGAGTGGGCACAGGGGGGTAATCGAGCATGCTGATTACAAATATATTATTGACAGGGCCGGGCGGAGCCGGGTATGCCAACTAGTTACAAATATATTATTGACAGGCCCGGGCGGAGCCGGGTTTGCCAACTAGTAATCTATATAAGTAAACTTTGAGAAATTTCACTTCGCCTTCCCCCCCCCCCCCGCCCCTCCTTCCTCCTCCCCCCTCGGACCGCCACTGCTATCCAGTAGTAACTTCGTCATTCACTGCAAGGCCGCGGTGAACACTTTCGGTAAAATTGTGTTCAGCTGCATGTCGTTGTACAGTCCTCATAGCAGTCGGCTAATGTTGTGTAAGCTGGGTCCACTCCTTGATTGATTAGCGCTGACAGAAAAGTTGTTTTCGATGCTGTCGAAGGCCTTCCCGTAGTCGACGAAGGTTAAGGCGAGGGCAGTCGTTACTCTCGGCAGAGTTCCACGAAAACCGTTGAATGTGATTCATGCAGCAAAATCCCTTGCGAAATCAAACTTGTTATTGGGATAGGGCTTCATTTAATGTCTTAGATATGTTGTCGATGATTCAGTAATGATGTTGATGCACCTTTCTTTCACATTTGAGGTGTCGCAGCCAAATTTCAAACAGTTTAAGCGTTTGCATATTGTCTCAGGATCGTATGTTTTGAAAATCGTGTATTGAGCGACGGCCTTAGCTCATATTCATAGCCCGTATATTTCACAAGTGCGCTACTTTTGCTTCGCAGAGGTACTGGCCACTCCGGACTCCCTTGTCTCTCCCTCTCTATAATTAAGTGACAAATTACTACAAACAGACACATTAACGGCTATAAGTCATGATATTACGTGCCCATTCGAGTGCGGGCGTCTAGCCTCGCTATACATATATCACCTCAATAATAGATAGGATAGACGACCCCAAAAAGGGAGTTATATTGTTACGAAAAGCACGCGAGAAGAACTTTTTTAAACTCGTTGCTTGATCGTTAAAATAAGTGGTGACACTATATGATTGCTGAAGCGAGCACAGTAGCTTGCCTAACAAATCAAATCCGTTTGATTTGAATGACTATGCTTTGCCCTTCGAATAATAACTTATCTACAAGATACACTACAAGATTGAATTTCTTTTGTGCATGACGGACAGAAATTATTTGACAACGATGAAGTCAACACTCTAATGTTTCTTCAATATTTTCTTCTAGAAGCTAAACATTTTTAGCGCCGCACTGGTTGCTAGGTCACATGTGAAGTTTTGTCATAAAACTAAAATTTACTTCAAGCCGCGACTACATATGATTTGGTCATTGCCAATAAGTTCGGAAAAGAGCGGTCTCGTTTTGTAGTCGTTACGATCTCGACGGCATGAAATCCCAGAATGTATCCTTAGTTGATGTTGATAACTGCAAAGGTTTGGACCATTATTTGTGGTACAAGAAGTGTTCTACTTTCAAAACAAAACCAATCATAAATCTTCCCTTTGCTTAATCAACGCTGAGTTCATCATTGATTTGCTGTCCCAAGCACAATTGTTGAGCTGGTCTGGAAGTCTGTGGCACCATTGCTAAAAAAGTGTAAGTTTACTCTTAACCGATTGTTTGTTCTTGTTCGAAAGAGGAAATTTTACCCATGGTCATAATTTCTTCCGTCTGATGCAAGCAGCTTTCTATACTATAGCTAAAAAAGCTGATTCTCAAACTTAAATGCTAAGGAACTGAAAAGCTGCAAGAAAAGTCTTCGATTTGAGGTGATACTTTTACAAACTATCAAGCCTCCTAAAATAAAAATCAATAAAGTTTCCTGCGAAATGAACGCCACATTTCATGGTACAAAAAATTCCTGAGAGATTTTGCGATGCACCATTTCATTCTCTTTCTAACGTTACAAACTCGTTGTAGCACAGCCAATGCACTCTCGGAAAATTAACAAAATCGCGCTTTGAGATGGTTAAGTTTTGCAATTTTTCTAGGTTCTCAATTCAATCCTCTGAAGGAGTACAAGTGAACAGCTTTTTCTCCTTTCCATAGCCCGTCCCATTTTGATATTTTATTTGATGTTACATTTCCATACTTGGTCAACTTATCAGAATCCATGTTCAACTACCCATAAATCTTGGCATAGTTTAATTTTTCTGGTTGACTTCTTAGCAGCGTCCAAGATTGGTAAAGATGTTTATTCCACAATATACAGATTGACGTTTCGGCAAACTCGCCTTCTTCAGAGTCTGAAAAGTTGAAAACACATAAGTGAACTATCCGATCAAACACCTTGTCGACTACAAGCCAACCCTTTAAAAAAGCAACAGTATCAACCAAAACGCAAGATTAAGTACTGGCACGCGCAAAAACATTGCAAAAAAATCTGGTAATTGAGCGCTGTAATGATCTTAATACCGTTAGAAAGAAAGTGAAATGCTGCATCGCAAACTATCAAGATCTCTTACGATCTTGATAGATCTTGTTAGAAATCTTTGCTCTACGAAATGTGGCGTTCGCTTGGAAAGAGCAACATTATTTTCGGAGCGGCCTAATACTGAAATTTTCAAAAAATTACACGATTATTTCCAAATAATCCTAGATCAAATTTCAATCTTGAAAAAACGGAAATCTTTATGTTGTTTTGTCTTTCATGATTTTTGCAAAATCGATTCATTGATAGTTAGGGCTTTTGAAACACTCAGTTAGCAAGGTATTTTCTGCTCACTGTAGAGCTTTCTAAATATGATATGATTAACACATTGACGACCACGCAGATTTTCAGTTGTCTACCCTCTTGGACCAAGGCTTTTCACGGACCAGCCCACATTTTTCAACTATAATTACGCATACTGTCATGTCCAGTGCACTTACAGTAAATACGAAAGGCTGACAGGTAAGGCAGAGGTCATCCCTTGGTTCATTGCAAAAGAAAGCTCATGAAATGAGTTTATCCCAGGATAGTAGTCATTTTAACAAAATTCAAGTCTTACACACATGGTGTGTCAAGCGGTCCCACGCGGTATTCAGTGATTGACACACCATGTGTGTCAAGCGGTCGTCAATGTGTTAAAAGAAGGTACAAATGTATGAGGTGAGATAATATCGAAGCAAGTGGGCGGAAGTCGTACATGAAAGTAACTCCGACTGTGCACTGTCGACTACTTATATGCACGAGACAGCATCATCAAGCCATCGCTGCGCGCGACATCCTACTGATAGCTGGAAAAACGTGAGGAGTTCACACCTGCAAATTTCCCCAATGGCAAAAGCAATGCGAGCTACAGAATTCATCGATGCTGTGCAACTGATAAAGTATTACTAAATACATGATTGCAGTTTGCACATTCTGACGGAGAAAAGAACAGTACGGAGTACGGAATTCGTATATGAAGTTTTCCAAGCTCATGACTGGCTATCTAAACTTATACATCCCTGTTAGCTGAATCGGCAGCGATAGAAATAGAGTTAAATAAGTTTTTAGAGTGTTTTTACATTTACTCAATCGCATTCTGGTGGATACATGCACATTGGGCATTCCCCATCCGTCCAGTTTGCTTGAATCTACTTTTTTCCGCGCTTGAGTTATTTTCGTTGTGCGCATACCGAATTTCCATACAAATATGAGTCGAAACACCTGGGAGCAGCGTAAAAACAAACAAACACAATGTGTTGAGCACTTGTGGAGATGTGAATTGACCAAGTGGTCCTTTTGCGCTGAAGCGAATTGCTTTTGTTAGATGAAACGGCCATATAAATTCACCCCAGCCAATCAGACACAACAGCGCTTCAACTTGAATTTCAACTCGGAGGCCAACAAAGTTTCCTCCAAAATGTCTCTTCTACAAATTGTTCTTCTTGCTGTATTCATGACTGAAGCAACATCATTCCTTGGTTGCGGAATGGCTGTTGGTAAGTTACGCAAAATTATTTGGGAATTATTTCCAATTTTCCAATTTCTTAATACTGGGTAGCAACGTAAGTTTTGTTACACTGATTGAGAAAATCGGAGTAAATGCTTCAAGAAATTTTTCTCGTCTTCAAATTACCTGGGGTGTTGTACATTTCCAAATACACAAGTCAACACGAGAGAAGTTTTCTCGAGTTTTTATGAATATTTTCGGATAGTTTTTTGGCAAATTTTTAACCTCGTTGTTGAGGCTCAACTTCCGCATTGTCTTCAAATTAGTGCTGACGCTCTTGTATTATATAGAAATCTAGAAGCGTAGCGTAGTAGAAAAAAATCTGAACTGTAGAAAGATGTATGGGAAAAATTCCAAAAAAATGAAAAACTGGAGCTGTTTTGCCGTCACAAGAACCTTTGGTCCGCCAGTAGTAAAAATCATGAGCATGTGGAAAAGAAAATAGTAATAGTAATAAGATAAAATTCATGGAAATTTGTGAAACAAGATAAACAATTTTTAATTATCTGCACAAGTAACCCAACTCATTACTTTTGTAGAATTGAAAATTATGAGCTCAGTTAAAAAGGAATATGATAATAAAATAATGAGAAAAAAATTATGGAATTCGTGAAATAATATAAATAACATTTCATTATTTGCACAAGTTACCAACCCATTATATATGCAGAAGTAAAAACCATGAGCTAAATAAAAAAGGAAAATAATAATAAGCTAATAAGACGAAAATTATGAAATTTATGAAACAAGATAAACAATTTTTAATTATCTGCACAAGTAACCCAACTCATTACTTTTGTAGAATTGAAAATTATGAGCTCAGTTAAAAAGGAATATGATAATAAAATAATGAGAAAAAAATTATGGAATTCGTGAAATAATATAAATAACATTTCATTATTTGCACAAGTTACCAACCCATTATATATGCAGAAGTAAAAACCATGAGCTAAATAAAAAAGGAAAATAATAATAAGCTAATAAGACGAAAATTATGAAATTTATGAAATAAGATAAACAAATTTTTGATTATCTGCACAAGTTACCGAATTGAAATTTTCGATACCAGATTTGATAGGCTTCGGTTGTGGCTTTGGTGGAATGGGAATGTATGGCGGATACGGTGGATTCGGATTCCCCGGCTATATGGGCTACGGCGGCTACGGTCTAGGAATGCCCATGATGGGCATGGGTTACGGTGCATACGGTATGGGATACGGTTACGGCTACGGATACGGTGGCTATGGTAAGTTGTAGAGAGCTCTCCTTGATAGAATTCAGACACTACGCTGTTCAAGGATTCGGTGGATGCTGTGGAAAGAAGTAAGCGGAAGAGATTTTTCGTTCAACGTGCTCATTAGAAGTGCAAAACGCCCGACAATAGTTGCCATCACACGTTTTTTCTTCCTGTAATTGTAAATAAATAAATACTAACCTTGGCATTTCTAGGCACTCAAAATCAGTCTCTGATGAAGGGGTTTTTTCTTTCAAATACTTTGAGCAACAAGAGAAATCTCGAATTGTTCCCACATAACCTTTGATTCAACTGGATTGGCAGCTGGAAGACGAGGCCTTGTGACCTAATTGAGGCCGCCTTCGCCCGCGACCCAGTCTGCGTCTCTCTCGCGCTCGTGCCTCTGATCATTCTCTAGCCCTAACGAGGTCACAAAACTCCGCCTTCCAGCCGCCAAGCCAGTCGAATCAGAGGAGAAATCCTGAAGTGAAAAGATAAAGGTTTAAAATGACAAAGGAGAAAGACTGGTAATCCATAGTAGCTTTTTTATCTCTCACTCTCTTCGTTTGAGCTTTTGTAGTGGACAGATAGATGAAAAAACGACGTACATATTCTATGACTTCGATTCGGAGAGTAGAAAGCCAGTATCTGATTTTGCACATAAAAATTACTTCCAAGCTTGAGCATATCTCGAACACTTGTTGTGGTGGTTAAAATGAACCGATCCAGTTCAACCACACTTGTGAAGTTTTTTCGATATCAGGGTTTGGCGCATAACCACTTTCTTTATTCGCTTAACAAACAAATTCTTTTACAGCACAATAATTCTTTTTGTTAAAACATATGTGTCATACACTTGATAGTCTTTGCATTCGAAATCTGGTTATTGGCTCAGTTGTTGTAAAAAGTGTGCACAAATTTTCAAATTCTGCTTCCGCTAGCAAGGCATGGCTGACAACTCGAGTATTCCGTGGTCTTATTGACGACGATGTAGACCAGCGGTGGCCCACACATCGTTCCTGGCAGCAAAAAGTGCGTGGGCCACCAGTGGATCTAGTAATGTTCCGCATACCAATATTTTTTTTCGATTTTTTGCACTCTTCGGACCTGCAGAGTTCCGTCTCAAGAAAATGTTTGTAGTTGTTTACAAAACAACTTTGCATTTCGTAAATAAAAACAAAACCTTCCCACACCGATAGTGTTGTTCGAAATCGCGTCGTCCCACAGCGCCGTTACTCAGACACTGGGACCGGCTGAGCCGCGGCCTCAAAAGGCCTTTCCGGCCCGTCCGCGGCCTTAATTTGGGGGCGTGGCCGAAGACCGGCCCAGCCGCGGACCTTAATTCATGTCGATATGATTGCACCGGCTGATCCGCGGACTGAATATGGCTTACCGGCCCAGCCGCGGACCGAATATGGCTTACCGGCCCAGCCGCGGACCTTAATTCATGTCGATATGATTGCACCGGCTGAGCCGCGGACCAAAATCTCTATTACGAAACACCGGCTGAGCCGCGGCCCATTTTCGGCTCGGCCGGTCCTAGTATCTGAGCGTAAAGAACACTTGCGTGATGTACGACGCATGCTTAGGCTGCCCTCAGTGTCCATGGCCTCCGTTGTCTTTCCAGTCTCCAAGGCAGGAACAAGACCAATATGTTGTACAACACTTGAATATGTTGTACAACACTTGGATAACACTTTGTGTTGTCCAGTTTTGAAGCCGGACACGTTTTCCGAAGCGGCCATGTCTGTGGCCTCAATTTTTGTTTTTCACAGCGTATATTTTACGTGCCAGTGAATAAAAAAAACAGTCGTTTTGTATCCGAGCTAGAATGAACTATATGGCCCGACAACCAGCTCCGGCTGAGCCGCGGCCGTTTTCCGGCTGAGCCGAGGCCGTTTTTCGGCTGAGCCGCGGACCATTCACCGGCTGGTCCGCGGACGCTGCGAAATTCCAGCCGGAAATGGGCCGCGGCTCGGCCGGTCCCAGTGTCTGAGTAGGCTTAAGGCATACCTCCAGCGATCCAATCGTCACGATTTTCGATCGCTGCGACTAGACTGCCTGGGCGACCGTCCACTGCGTTAAAATCACCCATCGCTCGACTCTTGGGCATACCCGTAGCGATTTTGTGAACGTTCACACATCACACCGCATTATACGCAGTTTTGAAAAACTTGCGCTAAATTGTCTGAAGTGCATTTATTCGAGAGAATTCGAGGAGAATGTGGCGCCACCTGTTTCAAGAGAACGTTACATCAAACAAGAAAGGATATGGATTCACACACATCCCAATATTTATCAACGTTTTTCTACTAACGCAAGTTTAGTAGTTACATCTGCGATGAAATCGACAACTAGTTCATAAAGTTTTGAGTTCTCTTTCGTTCACTGGTAGGCATATATAGGGCTTATCAAATCGAGTGCCGTTTGCACCGGCATCTCCATCTTCGCGCTGGACTTTGCGTCTCTTCCGCAGGGCTGCTCTCTGAGCACTTTCCCAGGGCGAGCGTGGGAAAGGCGGAACATCAATCGATTGGAAGTGATTAGAGAGCATGTACCGCAGAAAAGACGCAGAGCCCAGCGCGAAGATGGAGATGCTGGTGCGAACGACACTCAATTTGATAAGCCCTATAGGTTAGCTTTGTTGTAAAATCATGCTTTCGTCTTTGTAAAAAACTTCGAGTAGGCTATTTCAACTAGTGCTGCGCGAACTCTTGTCTGCCATTCTGCGAACGCTTATACAAATCATTCATTCTCTGACTAAAAGACACCAGCAAGCTTTGCGTACGTTTAATTAACAAGTTTACGGGTAAGGTTCTTAGTGAGACATGTTCACGCTCGTAAAACAACACGAGTTCGATCATGCTTATGCATGAATTCCAATAGCGACTTACCCAAATCGCGTTAAAACGCACTAGCAACTTATAAACGGAAGGTACGCGAATCGTGTTCGTGCCTCTTAGTCAGACACTGAACGATATACCTACCTATATCTGAGCGACCGAAATTGCACATCTATTCTATCCACTTCGGAAATTATAGCAGGAACATTCGAGATTCGGTCACTACTTGTAATCAATAAACAAGAACAGGAGAAGTTTAATACATTGCGAGAACAGTAAATGCTAACAGGAAGGGTGAAGTGACATGTGGGAAGCATTCCATACTATATAAATCGCATGTGTTGTTTTCAAGGATTAATAGTATGGAATGTTCGATGACCATCCTTCTCTTATGCAGAGAGGAAGCGCTTGTGTGAGATGGAATAGTCATAAATGAAATTTGCATTTGCAAAAAAATACAAAACTTCATAAGAAAGAAGAAGCTGTTCGAGCGATTCGCTCATCGCTCGAACAGCTTCTTCTTTCTTATGAAGTTTTGTATTTTTTTGCAAACGCAAATTTCATTTATGACTATTCCATCTCACACAAGCGCTTCCTCTCTGCATAAGAGAAGGATGGTCATCGAACATTCCATACTATTAATCCTGAGGCATACCTCCCGCGAATGGGATCGCGGGAGGTATGCCTCAGGCCTTACGCAAAACTAAGCGCTGTCGTCGCCAATGGGTTAACGAGCAGAAGGTTTTATATTTGCCGAAGTTGAAATTGCTGTTCCATAAAAATCAGATGGGGAATTAAACAAGAAATATCCTTTGAACAAGAAATATTCCTTTCGAAACTGACAGCGAATTATCCACACTTCCATAACATCGTAGAAAGAATAAAGAAACTCAACTGCACCTATTCCGGACTATCTGCTTCTCTTCTTGAAAGCACGGTCCACCCAGATTTCCGACCTCCATGTTTCTGTTGCTTCAGGGCCTCCTCATGTCCCTGATTCCGAATATGAAGTCGAGAATGCGCGAAATTCCCGATATTCCCCGTTCCGGAGAACCCAGAGGCCGGCTTTCCAGAACGGTGATTGGATGGGCGCGCCCAAGTGGGCGGGCATGGATGGGGGAGGCCGGGCATGGACGGGGATCCTAGTGCATCTTCGCTATTCCGAAGCGATTTTCTCGCTTCCGAAGCGGCATTTTGCGCCGCGACTTGGGCATTGGATTGATAGGGGGCCTTACTATTATATACTGCCAAAAGCTCAACCACAACTTAGGGTGAACGGTGCCTTTAAGGACTTAAATGAATAATTCTGCATGTATTAGCATTTCAACTAATGTTTGCCCCCTCAGAATTTCTTAAACCCTGAAACCCTCTCTTGAACAATTGGGTCAAACCGTTCGTAAATATTCTTGATCATGTGGTGAAACGAAATATTTGCAAACAGATTATCGTGCACAACGACCAAGGAAAATCACATAATGTGCTAAAATTTTCTCTCTGAACCGGATTGCAAAACTTATGCCGTTGATCAATTACTCATCAAGAGTGGGGTGTTAGTTTTTCGAAAAGTTCTTAGAAATGGGAGTGGAAGAGGGAGGAGAACCAGAGAATTTTCACTTGTCGAATGTTTCTTACTTTTACAAAAATTAGACTGCTTTGCACCTACTTTTCAGAATTTTTATGATTAAATACGGAATATATTTTCAAAAGAATTGAAGGTGTCATTTTTTATCGCATTTCCCTTCCATCCCACCCGTGAATAAAATTTGGAACTGCCACTATTTTTTTCTAGAAAACGCTGGAGCTTGTCCCATAAATGGAATGTACAGAAAAGCAAAAAGCTTGTCGGCTAGTAGCTGTTAGATAGTAGCAAGTTGGTATATTTGCACAGTACGCCTTAAATCACTTTGTAAATTTTGTGTACCCAATTTTGGCACTTGGCGTTTACTCACCCCTCCCCAGATTTTCCGACTCCAATGGTAGGAAAATCTTTTTACTTCTGCATTCCACTTAGCACTCAAGAGGGGATTGACTACAAAACAAAATGAGCTCTTGTGAGAACTGTCGGGCGGTGGTAAGCTCAGATACTTAGTCACTGCGTCTAAAGGTCATTAAATAAATATGAAATGATACCAACAAATTTTTTGATGAAGTCAAGCCTCTCAAATCACTATCGCTTGCAATGAGAACACGAATAAATAAAAGTATGTAATAGTGGATAAGTACGAAAGAAACCTGTTCGATATCTTCACATTAACGCATGTGTGCCAACCTCTTCGGGTGATCCAGACATCTCGAAAATTTTCCGAAGAAAAAACGATGTTCCAAAGTGCTATCAAGTTTTCACAAATGCGCGAAAATGAAAAATAAGTGGTTAAAGAGGCATGTTTAGGACGAGAGTGCATAGAGGTAAACATACTAGTTCCTGAGAAAGTTTTTTTTTACAGATTGAAAAGTCAACAAAGGGTCGGAAGAGGGGAGGGGGGAAGGATGGGCGGAAAAAATCGCTTTAGTATGATCCCCAGCTAGTGAAGGGATCATGAAATTATTTGAGATACTGAACAGGATTTTTCTGGATAACTGATATCCAGCAAAAAAATATAAAAAATGAATTGCTTACCATTTTGTAAAATATAATAATAGGCATATGGTATCGAACTCATGAATAAGCTTATACCAGTGTTCAAAGAAAAATAAATAAATAAATCATTGAAAGACTCAATTACAGAATTACTGTATTATAAGCTGAATATATTTACAATTAATTGTAGACCTGAATAAATTCGTAATGGACAAGACTAGGGAGATGAAAGGGAGGGGAAGGGGGGGGGGGAGAGTTGTGGTTCTTTTTTTTTTGAATTTTATTGTTGTGTTACGTTTCATAAATACCCTTTACCGCCGTTATTAGCATGTTACGAACAGTATATAAAATATGTAAAACAAAATAGAAAAAAAGGACACTGCTATTGGGTGAAACTCGTGAAAATCGACTGGACCTTGATACTTTTTTCACTCAACGATATGTTCTGCTTTTTTTCTCCCCTCCCCTCATTCCTGATGGTCTTTGTGGTTCTGAACGTGCGCATATTTACCCATTGGCCAAGCAGAGCCTGTGACGCCATTGTTGGCGCCAGATCGAAAGAAACCAGACGAACGGGAAGTTTGGCAACCTGGTTCGTAAATCTATGACTCTTCACTTCCATGCGGGATGATCCATGAAGTATGCAGAGAGAATGACGTTATATTTGCAGAAATGTTAGATTACGGTATATGCGAGAGTGAAGTAGGATACGGTAACGCCCTTTATAGCGTGTGGGTCCCATGAGGAGAAATTTTGTGTAAGAAAAGGAAGAGGAAAGCTGTTATTGTCTCTTGGGTAGGGACTATATGTCACAGGGTGGTCCCACGCAACATCTGCGTCAGACCATGCAGCTCCACACATTACAGACCTTACAGAATTGTACTAGTTGTCCATGCGCGGTGGAGCCTATCGGCGACACATAGTCCTCCACCCCTGTCTTTTCTGCACATTAATCGAATTACCGTACTAAGGTACTATACCGGCCACACTTTCTTCCCAACCCCTTCCCATCTCCCCCTCCTCCTTACTCCCTTTTCCCACCCTCCCCCCCTCCCCCGTCCAGCCATATAGGGCGCTGTCCCGTACGGATATCGATAGCCGATACGCGACACTTTACAAGTGACTCAGCTCAAAAAATGTCTCGATGAGACTGCGGAAGCTGACTCGCGAGGGGACCCGTGTGTAGGGTGCAAAACATGCGCACCGACCCAGCCCCGTGGCCGGTCCGGCCAGGTATAAAAGCTCCAGCCGGAATCGTTCCAGGCACGTTAACGGCTCTGGAATGCGTGTAGACGTTGCCGTCATAGCATTAACGGCTGTACTGCTTATCGCAACAAGTGAGCAGGTTGGTGATTCTTGTTATCTTGTTTTTTTTCTATTTACTTAAACTTTCTGAGAAGTTGTTCTTACCGCTGACATTTGTTTGCTTCTTCAACAAAACTCAGTTTATCGGCAAAGTTCGTAGATTATTTTTCCAGACGTTAACTGTCAATCATGTCTTTCTATTAGGTTGGCTAAAAAATATTTTCGGTCGTTTTTAACGGTCTGTTGAAATATCACAGATAGATTTGTGTATTTATGTATTGGACCGTTTGAAAGAGTAAATCAAGGAAAATCGAGTGGTTAGCCTTTTTTTAACCTTTTTTTTTGATGGCGAAATGGCCCAAGGAAGCAAAAAGGCCAGATTTCTTGTCATTTTTTGCCACTCATCTAACTGTTTATACATTTATCTGATTCCTGGTCAGCACATAGGTTAATTTTCAAAGTATCCTTGAACGCAGTGATAGATGATAACTTCTGTCGAAGAGTTCGCTCGAATATCAACAAGGAAAGGACACTCGGTGGTGGCCATTGGGAATGCGATGTATACCATAAAATGCATCTCGAAATGCTCATTCTAAATCTGTGCTCGATATCTGCGAAACGATCTTCTGAAAGAAGTTATGAACTTTCTTTTGTGGAAACTTTGCCTACTTTTGGGAGTTAAAATCACCAAACTTGTGTTACCGTTTGAAGCTATTAAAGTGAAAAAAAGAATACTGTTGTAATACCTATCTAGATCATTCAGCATTTGAAAAGGAAAGAAAAATTTTTACTGATGATTTTGGCCCTCCGCAGTAGCGCAATTTATTCATAGAAAAATAATCATAACTCCATCCAGGTTCTCGTTTCGCAGATATGGAAAACAGTATTCGAACCAGCATTAAAAGGCGCATTTTTTTGATATACAAATCATTATGAATGGCCGGGGTCACCAAGTGTCGTTCCCTGTTAAGAATTATTAACTTTGTCCAAAATGCAGTGCCTGTTATTATATGACAAATTATTTATTTTCTTTGAAGAATTGCCACTTTTTTGACAGTCCAATTTGCAAAATATAGCCCTCCTTATACGATGAAGGCTGCGAAATTTTTTCCATTGAATCGAAAAGCTATATTTTATGCAAATTGTGCAAACAATCTGTTCTTAGATGTAAGCGACCAAAAAGAATTTTTCATATATTTCCCTATGAGCAACATAGGATATTTCAGAGGTTATGGCTAGTCGTATCTTTGTCCAAAAATTTTTTGAACCTCCATTCCTTGATGACACACACATTTGCTACTTTTAGAAAAGTACCCTAGGATGAAGAGACTATATAGAAAAGTGTAGTTTGTGGAGCAGAATTTATAGGTTAAACCCCAAGAGGTTTGAGTTTCAGATTGTATTGCTCTGAACCAATGAATAACTCCATGACACTGTAATCAGAATGCTTTCAAAATTTTGCAGGCCCAGTTTTCAAGCTCGTTCCTTTGTTTTTTTTACAATTGCTAAAAAATGAACACCAAATTTTCAGTTACAAAAAATGCTTCATAGTTTGCGAATTTTCACAAGAACACCAACCTTCCGAAGTTACCTTTTTCCTAAACCTTCTGCTTCACAACTTACCTGTAGTTTTCTTCATAGCCTCTTCACCTGTAGTTTTCTTTTAGCCTCTTCATTCTACGGTACTGGAATTTTTATGTTATCGTAATTTCCTATCTCGAGTGGTGCAATTGCACCAGAAATTTCTCAAGTGCTTGCCCTGAAATCCGGTAGATCTATAAGTTTGTCACCGGAAGCAAAAAATGATTCTGGATTTAGTGCTAACCGGAAGCATGCCAATTAACCGGATTTCGAGGCAAATATCCGAGTAGAAAAAAATGTTGCCAGTGCACTAAGTGGTTTGCAGAAGCAGGCGGGGGGGGGGGGGGGGGGGGAGGGAGAGAAGGAAGGGCGAGGCGCCCTAAGGTTGGGTCCCAAGTTTTTCAAAGCGCCTGAATGGTGCAAATGACTTCCTTTTGTTAATCTGAATATTTTCCAAATTTTTTCAAAAATTCAAATTGGCTGAAAGAATTCCTGGGACCTCTTCATTTAAAAGAAACATCTATCGATCCCCCCCCCCTCCTTTCCCTCAACCAAAAAACCCTTGGACCTCCACTGGTGCTCATCATCTCACGGTAATTAAAAAATTATTAATTGTTTTTTTAGATCTCACTGAAACGAGCCAAACGAGAGTGTCCATGCGCTGAGCTTACGATAAATTCGTGCACCTGTCATGCCGGTGCCACGACCGAATGCACGTGTATGACACCGATTTCGCCGCCATCCTGCTTATGTGCCGCGGCCACGCAGGCTTCACTTTGTCGTCCAGCCTGCCAACAGAACTGTGTGGCAACTTGTTTGAAGAACAAACCAAGCTCAAGGTGTCAGTCATCATGTCGGATGACTTGCTCACATTCTTGCATGCCCCAGGAGGCTATTCCAATTCGGGTGGCGATTCCACGACCATCGTCGCCGATGCAATGTCCGCTGGTGTGCGAGAAGTCGTGCCAGAAGTCATGCGCTGGAGATTCTCTGCCAGCTACTTGCATGCTTCTATGCACTCAGTCGTGCGAATCTAGCTGTATGCAAGCTGCTCCAGCAGCATTTCCGTTCGAGTCAACTTGCGATCCAGTATGTATGCCATCGTGTGATCGACAGTGCATCCATCAGTACAAAATCACAATTTCGCAAGTCTTCGGGCAAAGCGAGATAGTCCATCCTTCTCCGGTGATTGTCCCCAGAAGCACCTGTATACCATCATGTATGCCAGCATGTTCACCATCGTGCATCAGAAGTGCGGTACTAGTGAAGCCAGAAGCAACCTGTGTCGCTCGATGTATGCCCGCTTGCGCCCCTGAGTGCGTTGAAGACCAGGTAGCAGTCGTGGAATCACCGCCTCCACCACCTCCACCTCGATGTGTGACCGCTTGTATGCCGGCATGTTCACCCTCCTGCATCAAAAGTGCGGTTTTAGTTAAGCCAGCACAAACTTGCGTAGCTCGATGTATGCCCACTTGCGCCCCTGAATGTGTCGAGGACCAGATAATCACGATCGAATCACCGCCTCCACCACCACCGCCTCGCTGTGTGACCGCCTGTATGCCGGCATGCTTACCTCAGTGTATCCGAAAGCAACAGGTGATTATCAGAGAGCCTACACGCCCCAAGTGTAGCGCAGTCTGCATGCCGGACTGTGACCCACTTTGCTTGGATCAGCTACTCATCGAAAAGCCGATGCCCCATTGTGCAGCAACATGTATGCCGTCATGTGCACCAACTTGCCTCCAGCAGGTGTCCATTCCGCCAAGCCAACCACCTGTACTCGTCGCGGAGACACCCGTAAAATGTATTGCAGAGTGTATGCCAGCCTGTACTCCACAGTGCATTCAGGAACAGAAAGTCATTGTAGCAAAACCGCTGGTGAAGTCTCCAACATGCTTGGCCGCATGTATGCCAGTATGTGCTCCTGCATGTGTAGAACGAGAAACGATTTGTCATCCAGCTTGTCAACCAACTTGCGATAGCGACTGTGTCAAGACTCTCAATTTAAACATAACTCTCTACCAATCCGAACGTGAGCAGGAAATCTACCCACCACCTCCACCACCTAGTGTACCAATCGTACCTGTGGTTGAAGCAGAACCACTACCGCCACTTCCGCCTCCTCCACCGCCACCACCACCGCCTTCACCACTGCCTCCAGTTACTCCAGTGGTAGTAAGTGAACCGTTTCTGCCGCTTCCACCTTCGCCATCGCCGCCTCCATGTCTTCCACAGTGTCAGCCTGCATGTGAGCAGCATTGCATCATGCAGACGAGTAGTCCACCTGTGGAAGAGGTTCCTCTCCTGACTGATGGCAACCAGAATCTTAATGTCAATATTGTTTTCGAGGAAGAGCCACAGGTATGCGACCAGGTCTGCATGCCCACTTGCGCTCCCTCGTGTCTGGAACAGCTAGTGTCAACCAAGGAAACTACTGTAGCAGTCAAAGAATTGGAATCTGCACAATGTGTTGCTGAATGCATGCCAGAATGCAGACCACAATGTATAGGAGCCATAGCTGTGCCAGTTCCAGCTTTGCAACCCGTATGCGTTCCGCAGTGTGAACCCGCGTGCGCACCGTCTTGTGTGGGGGTGAGAGAGAACTTTTGCTATGTGTATTTTTCGAATACAAGTTACTTTTCAGGAATACAAAGAAATTACAGTAGTCAACGATTGCAGGCCATCTTGTCAACCAACTTGTGACCCTCATTGTCTAGAGGTACTTCGAATGCCCAAAATTTTCTCAGCTTCATTTGCAGCTTCAGATGCAAGCTGATCTTTCGACCCAGTGCATACCTCTATGTGCTCCCGACTGTACACCCCAGTGCTTAGCACTATATGCCGAGGAGAACTCCATTATACCAATGGGACCACTTGCTTGCCCGTCGTTCTGCCAACCCGCATGCCAGCAGAAGTGCATTTATAACGAGGTATGAAGTAGTGGGTCAATCCACTTCTAATTCATTGGATGCTTCTCAAAGATGCTTCCAATATTGCAGTTGTAAATATGAACCCCTCACTTTTTTGCGTTAAATACCAGAGAAAAATTCAGCTCAACCCTATTTACGGCATATTTTCACATTCTGTCTCTATGAACCTGCAATTTTCGAAACTCTTTTTTTTTATTTTCTTCAGAAAAATTTCCAGATTATATAATAAAATACTCGTTATGACATGTACCGAAATTTAGTATGCAAAACGAAATGGTACCCAAGCATTTTTGAAAGATTTTTTGTTTGAATTTCCAGAGAGGCCGCAAAAGGGAAAAATTTCTTTTTGTCCACGATACTTCGGTCAGGTTTTTATTCGTAGAGATATAGATAAAAACCTTGATCTAAGTGTACATCCTCAAGGCCCTTAGATCAAGCTTATGGAATAATGGTGCACTTTTGGTTTTTGTTGTATAGATTTCCCAAAACCGGCCACTCCCTCTACGCCATACCCTCGATTCATAGAGCCATGTACTCTCGCAGCCTTCACTTTCAGCGCCATGAGTGAACACGACTCTTACCTAAGAAGAAAATAGAAGTCATCCGGGCGAAACCCCGGAAGTTGATCATAACCAAATCATACTAAATGTGATTGAAGCAATTATGGAAATAAAATCTTTACAAGGTCACGGCAGAACCGAAAAGTTGCGTTTTTATGACCTTTTTTACTAAAAGAAAAAGAAAGCTAAAAGAAAGTTTTCGTAGAGATTTTTACTAAAATTTAGAATAACATATCTCGCACAGCCTTTTTCTAGACTACGATTTAGTTTCAGAAGTTCTTTTGGGGTTCAATAAAAACGAGAAACTGCACTCAAATTCTGGGCGCTGGTTTATCTCGTTAAAGACAGCGTCCAGGCCGATCCTCGCCTTCTATATTTTTATGTTATCCAGGCTTTTTCGAGGCGCATATTTCGAAATATGGCTCTCGAAAAGCGTGAATTGCTCAAAAAAACCACCCTTTTGAGGCTATTTTGAGAAAATCTGGACGAGTCGAAAGCAAGCATTAACAGGTGAACATATATGTTCACCTGTGTTTACCATGTGGAAGCACGTTAAGGGTTGAGAAGTTTTTGTTTAATGGGTTGGTCGTGCGAAGAATTGGGCGTGGTCCTCGTTTTAAAGTCAGTTATGAAGTTCAAATCATCGAAATTCCTCAAAAAACCCGATTCCTAAAGATCCTGTTTTGAAGGCATGTTCAGGCTAAATCTAACCCCTACGATGGTGCCAATCCTGAATATACCCAGAAGGGGCATCCGCTTTAGTCCGGTCCTTCAGTGTTATTTCTGAATGGAGATAATGGGCCTGGAACAGCCAAAGGGCTATCAAGCCCCGCGTAGATCCTATCAAGCTCCGCCCACTCAGGGCCTGCCTCCCAACACGTACTGACATGTTAGTGAGTGGAAGCTGCACTGTTGCTACTGCACCTATGCAGTCCACGGAAAAGCCCCAGAAACCCCCCAAAAATATAGGAGACAGATTTTGGATGGGCGAGTTGCAGCTCTTGCGTGAGTACTTGTCCTCATAGGGAGGTTCGTGACTCTAGAGGCGGCTAGTGATACGTATCACAAGTCCGTATCTCCTTCTAAAGACCACATCAAAGGATTGGACCAATGTAAATCGGATACTTCTGCGGCCCGCTTGCAAATATATGCCAATCTGGATGAGGTGGATTTTTGGTTGACGCTGCCTTTGAAGTGTGCATTTAACGCGTGCGACGTTGACAGCGTTCCTAGTCGTGCCATGACGATCAGAATCCTACTATAATAACGCGCTAAGGCCGTCTGTTTTTTTGTGTGTCTGTGTGAAAATCTGTCTGTCACGAAATTCATAGGGGAAGCTGCAACTAAGCTATCAGGCTGCAATTTTGCATAACATACCGTGCCAGCGTGTAGGCCCGCCATGCACAAGGACGAGCCGGTTCGATAAGCGTGTCCCTCAAAATTTGCGCGTCAAACGGGTCCACGCGCCTTTTAGCACGGAAAACTGGTCGCTAATTTAAGTTTTTGCAAGATTATGATTTGCCTGACAAGTAACTCTGCGCGCCATGAATTCTAGCCCAAAAAGTGCTCAAGAAGTTTGCTTTTTTGCGAAAACAGCGCTAAAAAGTGAACGCGTAGATAGTCGATTTGGCAAGGTTTTATTTGAAAAAACTGAAAAGAATTTTGCACTGAAATGTAACCCAAGGTGACTATTATCCTTATGACGATTATCAAACTAAAATAAATTCAGCAATACGTTCATATTCGCATTTATTTCCTTGCAACAAAGTTTTTTTTTTCTCAAAGTTACCGATCTTACATGGAGATGCTTCATGAATGAACAGTTGTTTACGATTCATTTGTGATGCTCAGCGTCGCGTGGTGAGTTTCAAAGCCATTCTCATGCGAATATGAGAAAGGCATACGGATAGGGAGCCAGTGCGAACCTCCGCGAAGCAGAGGTGACGCACTGGTGATATATAATGCTGCAGTTTCGTTGAGACTCTGCGGAGATCTATCAGGTTGTCCCATAAGTTCCGTCCGTTTTGATTTTCAATCGCAATAAATCGTGAACTTTTTTTTTCTAGACAGGTTTCAAGGTATCATTCGATAGAGCAAAGCAAGCTCTACAAGATAGCTGTCTTGCTTTTGCACCAGCTTTGATACAGGTCGAGTTTCAGACCGAAAATCAAAAAGATTCAACTGACTAAAAAAAATAACTGATCGAGAAAAAATCATAACTCCGTTTAAAAAATTCTACAAAAATTCTAACTTGCTCGCATAAGCACTATCCATCTAAGGCATTTATATACGCCGTTGCCGTATTTTTGCTCGGCTAGAAATCAAGAAAACAAAGATTCTGATGCCTTTGCCAAGGTGATACTGTGCTGTCCACACATAGATAGTTGTATACTACTAACCTGTAGAAGTACAAATGTAAATTTTCCGCTCCCTACAAGCTTTGGTTCTCGAGAAATATAGAGTGCAGCTTGCTTTAGTCGGGTACCTTACGCTAAAATCCATATTTCTCGAACCTAGTGCCTATAGAGAGCTGAAAGATTATATTTGTACTTCTATGGCTAGTAGTATACAACTATCTATGTAGGAACAGCACAGCATCGCTTTAGCAAAAACATGAAAATCTTCGTTTTCTTAATTTTTAACCAGGGAAAAAATACGGTAACGGCGTATATAAATGCATTAGATGGATAGTGCATACGCGAGCAAATTAGAATTTTTGTAGAATTTTCTTAAACGGAGTTATGATTTTTTCTCGATTTCTCGGTCATTGAATCTTTTTAGTTCTCGGCTTGAAACTCGATATGTATCAAAGCTGGTGCAAAAGCAAGACAGCCATCCTGTAGAGCTTGCTTTGCTCTATCGAGTGGTATTTTGAAACCTATCTAGGAACAAAACGTTCATGATTTATTGCGATTGAAAATCAAGACGGACGAAACTTATGGGACATCCTGATACAATCAGAGCTCAAATGTTGGTTTGCCCCAATCCCAAAATTGGCATGACGGGAGTCCTCGTCGCAAGAGTTTTGCGTCACGCCTACGTCTGCTTGCCTGCCCTCTCTCCGATCTCTTCACTCTCTCCGACAATGTGCGCATACAGCACAAAGTAGTAGCATTGCGTGCGCGCAAATCTAGCCAACGGTACTGCCTGATCCCGATTAGGGCAGACTGTACCTCCGGCTAGTCCCCCTCTGCTCGTCTGCGTCTTCGCGCGTTTGCTACCTCACTACCTCAATCGCGGGGCAGAGGGCACCTGACTCTTGTACCCTTTCTTCGTTGTCTTAAACCCATTTCTAGCGAACTACATATTATATTGAAGTTCTTGATCTAAATCCATTATCTGTTTTGAATGAGAAATGTGGCAAAAAACCCTGCTTTTAGAAATCCTTTCTTTCTTCTTCAATTTAGTTCTTTTCACGCTGTTTTTTCGTGCATTCAATAGACCTTGCTTTTCTCAAAAATATAGAAGACGTCTCAGAGCTTTTCTTCGACTACGACGGATTTTGCGCGAAAACCTAAAAAGCGCGTTCTTTATCACCTTGTTCTCTTTCAGTGTTTTCGCAGCGATTTTATCCAGATTGGGCGGTTATAATAAAATAATGAGCGCAGTAATCCAAACAACGTCGCATGAAACAGGAACGACAATGCGGGGGGGGGGGTAAAATTTCAATGAATGCATGAAAAAGTAGATTGGCTTTCAGCGCATTTTGACTTAGTAAAAACAAAATTTATCAAAACTAATTCTTTTTCTGTTTATCTTCTTCTTAATAATCATCACTTCCGAAACATGGTTGTTTTTGACACAATCACAAAGAAAAAACAACTTTTCCTCATTTTGTCTCCGCTGTGGATTGCCTGATCTTGGAGCGAAACCTGCAATTCGAGGTGCCGCCCAATGAAAGATTTCAAACTCTTTGCAGCGTTTTTATCCGTTTTCAAGAATTTCTTTTGCTTTCGCTAACTGCTTTGTATCTTTTTTCTTTTCTGATTTTCTATAAACAATCTTTACTTTTTATGAGGGCAGATCTTCAAACAATCTTCATTTTGAATCCCTATCACTAGGTTATCAAAAGTATGCGCGCATTCTCAGAGGAGTCATTGACGTAGTATAATAGAGCTTTATCTGCACAAAATTACGAATACCCTTCATTGCTCGTTACCGGGTAATGGCATATTTTCAGTATATAACAACGAATGTTTAGAGTTGTCACGATGCTGCTAGACTTGAGAAAACCGAAGTCATTATGTACACTCTTTATATTTGAAGAAATGTTGAGATCTTGTTTATTTTTTAAGCTAATTTCTTTGATCATTTACTGAAACTCTGAGAATTGTATCTTGGAGGAGTTCTTTCCTCATTGCTAGGAAGCAGAGATAAGTATTTGAGTGTGGATGAAAGAAAGAACATGAACGGTCCAGTTTGCCTGATGTAAAAAGACTCTAAAAT